TGAACACGAATGAGGCAGGAGTGGCAATAGCTCCTTGTTGACACGCCCAGGGAGTGGCAATAGCTCCTTGTTGACACGCCCAGGGAGTGGCAATAGCTCCTTGTTGACACGCCCGGGGCGTGGCAATAGCCATTCCGATAAAATAAATGAAAGTCACATGAATGATTGCATAAACGTGCGATTATAAAAACGCATTTTAATGCTGATCAAAACAATGATAAGAAGTCGAAAATTAAGTGCTAAATAAATCTCCCTACAAAAAATTTAGACATAATTAATACAAAAAAAATTATTAATTTACGCGCGATTACACGAAGTTAATTAGGGGTGAATTTCGGCACAAGAAAGGTCTCAACCGGTTTAATTAAGTACTTAAAGCTGCCGCCTCAGTTCGATGATGAAATGTCGTTGGTTTATTTAGCACTTAATTTTCAACTTCTTATCGGTGTTTTGATATAAGCACGTTTATGCGATCATTCATGTGACTTTCATTTATTTTATTAGGCTGTAAGAGGATTATAATTTCTAATTTCTCAGAGGAATAGAAATAAAGAATGGATTTATGTAGTGTGATTGAAAATCACAATAATAATTTGTTACTGTTATAACTACATTCCTGAGTTCTATCAATGTGTCTAGAATGATGGCAGTTTGATTAACAATGTTTTGTGTGCAATAGAAACAGCAAGCCGTTCGAATGATGTATGAATGATTACACTTTTTGAGAAAAGCTCAAATTACTGTGTCAAAAATGTCATGGCGTCATGCTTGGACAAACCGTTCATTATGCTTTTTAGCCATTTCTATACACATTATCTTGATTATCATGATCTGAAGAGAAAGCCAGAAAGTCATGGTGGTCAAAAAGAGTTTTTCTAGCTGCTGAATATAAAAGTAGACAGTATGATTTATGAAACGTTAATCGCAAATATTGAGAACTACATATCTCAACGGGTCTTTTCTAGAAAATACATCAGTATATAGTACAACTTGTATACTTCAAACTAGTTTAAGTAGTATATATGGACACTCTCTAGTTAATTTAATTTTAATCTGAGAAGTTGGCAGAATATCGGATGAGCATTGCTTCTTTTGGACATAGAATAAATGAGTACATAGATTGAAATAGAAAGTTTGTTCTTTTCTATAAAGAGACATAAAGTTCTATATACATCTATACAAAACATTTATGTATATAATAATCCTTTTATGAGATTAACGGATGGCCCAGATAAAATGAAACACTTTTGCTCGTTGTTTTTGAGGTATCGTCCAGTAGTTCCAAGGGTTCTTTTTAAGGTACATCGATAGAGAATTGAATTCTCTACAAAACCTGTAATTTTAATCTCTGACAGCGTTTTTGTCGTTTGAGTACCAATCGAAATATTGAATGGTGCTGAGTTGTCGAACTGCAACGTGCTTTTGACGTCTCCTTCTTTGAGATTTTGATCCCACTGTCTGAGGTTCAATAATTAATTTTTCTAAGTAGAAAGATAGAGACTTTTGTGCCCTATCGATCTCACTGATATATAACTTCATACAATGTTTTCGCTACGTCAGCTGGAGTCAAAATTAGTTCTTAACCGGGTTTTCAATTTTTTCAAATTAAATTAATTGTTTTAATTAATGATTTGAACTGAGAAACTTTCTTTTTATATATCAAAAACAGAGATGTCATAATACGGATACAGAATGTATCCGCTCAATACAAACCTCTTACAGTAACAATACGGACTATATGTGCAAACTCGATACAGAATCTGTATTCTGTATCCGTATTCAGTCTGTATCCGTATTGACATATATCTATATGTATTTATCAATTCTTGGGATTCTGGGATTTTACTCTGTATTCTGTATCCGTATTGACATATATCTATATGTATTTATCAATTCTTGGGATTCTGGGATTTTACTCTGTATGCTGTATCCGTATTGACATATATCTATATGTATTTATCAATTCTTGGGATTCTGGGATTTTACTCTGTATTCTGTATCCGTATTGACATATAGCAGGGGTCGTGAGAGTGAGACACGAGACAAAGTGTGGTGACCGTGAACGATGCAGGTGGAAATTTTGGATAGATGTCTGTTAATAATGGAGTTTCAGTTTTGGTGGTTGATTTCTTGTCTTTGGGCGGTCTGCTAAGGTTTTTTGTGAATTGGTGTTAATGGAATATAGGTCAGTCCTACAAAGTTTTTAGAGTAGACTAGTAAAGGCCTGAGATCGGTATAATAAATGTAGTACATGTACTTCGAACGCTGGAGGTGGACATAAGATTGAAGTGAACACGGAATTTTATATGATGTTCAGTTAATGAAATATATGATTGTATACTAACCCCAAAATAGACGGCCACCC